GGAAGACCGAGGCTCTGTGACCACTGCCGTGATCGGCTGCTCCGATCCCCCTTCAGGACAAGGATTTGTTCCCACTGTGGGGAGCCCTAGCTTCTTTGTGCTTGCTGAGAAAGTGGCCTTGTCCTAGGTCACCCATCTCAGGGAGTATCCACACCCCAGGATGGATCCATGGGGTTATGAACACAGAGGCCCTGTCACCCCAGCCCAGGGCGACTCTGACGGACCATCCCAGCTCCAGGGTGTCCCCGTGCTTGGCGTGGCCATCTCCCCTCTCTGCCTCCCATGGATGTGACCCTAAGAGCACTCCTGCTAAGCTCCTTCAGGCTGACCTTTGCCTTGGGTCCTGAGAAAAGGTTGAAGAGTTCATCTAGCTGTATGCTATTGTCCTCAGGAGGGTGGAGGTGCTCTCTTCTGCCTGAGATAACAGAGGCAGAGGGCTCCCAGAAGAGCCCAGCTCCGCTAACTGCCACCCTCTGCTTTCAGGGTCCATGAGAGGTGCTCCCACTCAGTCAAGAGGCCATTTTTCACGTGAGCGCGTGAAGCAGCCAGCCTGGGTCAGAATGCTGGCATCGCAGCTACTGTGTGATGTTAACCTCTAGGCTCTAGCTTCTCCGTGGGTGGGCCGGCGACGGTCCTAACACCCAGCTCTCAGGGCCGTTTGGGAGGAAGCGAGATGACCCTGGCGGGCAGCACACGTCACCCAGGCCACAGGAACTGCTGGCTATTATCGCTGTTTGGTAGGTGCCAGGTGGCATGAGGAGACTGAGGATATAACAGGAACAGGAGTCACGGGCCCGCTGCCGGGCGCAGGAGAGACAGGCCCGCTGCCCTGGTCGAGGGCTAGGCTCTCAAGAGGGACAAGTTGATGACAAAATGGTGTCAGTGCTGAAATAGGCCACTGGGTGTGTTTGGGGAACCAAGAAGGCTTCTCCGGGGAGGCCATCGAGGGGAGTAGAAGTGTCCCAGGAATAGAAGAGCCTTTGAAACGGATGGCACTTGTGGGAGGGAGAGGACACAGATGCCTTGGGAGCGTCCGCCTCTGGGAGATAGGGGCTTGCTGGAGCCCTCTTCAGCAAGGCCGAGCCCTCTGAGGGCACCGAGCAGGGGCGACGTGACTCCTGGGTGCAGGGAGGTGGCTTGACCCAGATGAGACTGGAGGCAGGGAGACCTGTGATGAGACAAGGTCGCGACTGTCATTTCTCAGACGGAGGCTGAGCCACTTGCTGCTGGTTTTGTCAGACTAGGAGAAGGCTGGAGAACCAGACATGGCTGGAGAACCAGACACCGCCAGAATCAGGCAGGCAGGGCAGGATGGCTTCACAGGAGGCCTGATTCAGGAACTGGGGCCAGGACCATCCGTCTCCATGTCAGTGGCCCCCTCTGGTGCCTGAACAGGGCTGTCCCTGTAGACCCCCAACAGCCATAGGTTTCATACATCAAGGACCCCAGAAAGTCTCCTGAGTTCTTTGAGCCCTGATTTTTTAGCCTCTAACATGAAACCACTTTAAAGGTTCAGGTCGGTAAAAGGAAATATGAACCTGCTTTTAAAAATAAAATAAGTCACGATGCAAATTTTAAAAAATTCCGGCGTCCAAGTAACTTGGCGCACTTTTCCTTCGGACGGATTTTTCTTTTTTTATTTCCACCACGTTGGAGATAGTTGAGGGGAAGTTCAAGGATGAGTAAGCGAGTCGGTTTCCTCTGCATTGACATCTCCCTGTGGGCTCACCTACCCTCTCTGCCCTCCCAGCCTGAAGGGAGGCTTCTGGTTTCTGCAGAAGGGCGAGTTTTTCCTATCAACAGTCGGGACTGACCGGCAGGTACCCGAAAAGATTGAGGAGGGACAGGGATGCCTCGTGGAGGACCAGGAGTCGTGAACTTCTGAGTGGAGACCCATCTTGGCCTAACTGGGTGGTCATCAGACACACACTGTGTGCTGTGGGTGGGCATTTCTCATGCATGTGACTCATTACTGTTGTCTGCTCCTCTAGGGCAAGAACGATGTCCACCCTGTGCTCAATACTGCCATTCCATGACGGGCTTTGGAGTGGCCAAGCCAGGGCATCTGCACTCCCGGCGGTATCACGTGCTGTGTGGCACACGTCACCAGTGGGTTACAGCACTGCCCCATGCCTGGGCGCAGTGCGACAGCACGTACTACAAGGTGATTGCATGTGGCAGCCCTCAACACGAAGACCGCCTCCATTCTCCGTGAATCTCCACGATCATTCGTGGCAGCCCTGATTCTGTTTACCCAGGCCCCAGGCACGGAATGGAATTGCCAGGCCACAGCTCCCACCTCTCCTGCCATCACTAGTTACAGGCAAATGGTCGCTGTTCCCAGGGGCCAGGGAGAGCGGGGGCACTGGGTGGGTTCCCAAGGGTGGAGCCGCCCTTTTGGCTGGAGAGATCATGGACCATCCCCCGGAAGAGCAAGGTGATGGGAGAGGCCCAGGAGCCAGAGCGAGGGCAGGACGGAGGCTGAGAAGCAGCACATGGTGTCCGGGCTACTCAAGAACCAGCACACAAAGTGCATTTTGCTGCATCCAGGAGCTTTGAAGACCAAGCTGATTTCCATTTAAGATAGAGATGATGAACCCTGAGGTGACTGACCCTGGATCCCCAAGCAGGTGCTTCTGGCCTGCTCATGTCAAGCACCGTAGACAACACTAATGTGTGTACCACACCACGGGGCAAGCAGAGAAAGCTGCCATGGCCATAGGTGACCAGGCCAAGGGCTCTGCCCCCCAGGCCATGGGGATCAGCTTCTCTGGAACTCAGTTTACAGGGCTCCTGACCACAACTGCAGAGAATGTCTACCCTCCATGAAACATACTCCCACAGCCCGCAGCCTGGGTGACTTTCCACATGCTCATTTGTTCATGTGCGGAGGGCTGGAGAGAGACCTGAGGGGACCCAAGGGGTGTGGCAGCACCTCCCAGAGGTCGCTATTTTGTGTCCTGTAACTCTTGCGTTCTTGTTTTGGAGATGTCCTTTCTCTTACTTAGCAGAGCACGGTCTACGAATCCTGCCAACAGAGCACAACACCACTGAGCGGTGAAGCTCCGGGAAGCTAAGTACTAGAACCAGGCATGAGACAAACTGGTAGCAGGATGGGTCCAGCGCCCAGGTCTCCCCTGTGGGACCAGCACCCTCCTGGTCCTGACCTCGCACTGCTACTGGCTATCCACAGAGAGCCCAAACCCACTGTTGAGTGGCTTTAGGACATCCCGAGAGAGGTGCTTCACCCTAGCTCTGCGGGGTCCCCGGATGCTCACTGCAACCTCTGCACGTAGGCCAATTAATGTATCCTGACATGAGGACCGGGCACCTGGTAGAGGACACTCGAGGCAAAAGTGTGCTTGTGCATGTGTTGTCATGCACTCACACATACAGGCACACACATCCAGACCCACCCATATGCACACATACTGGTGCACACACAGTCACTCATATGCACATATGGGCACACACAAGTGTACACACACACGCACGCACGCCCCACTGCTATAACAGGAAATAGTAATAAAGACCTGACCACTTCATAACTAACAACTTATGTTCCCTTTGGCCTCTGAAGAGCCCAGAGGTTTTCTGTATGTGCAGTTTTTTATTTTATTTATTTATTTATTTTGAGTTGGAGTCTCACTCGGTCGCCCAGACTGGAGGGCAGTGGCCGCTCCCGGCCACCGCAGCCTCGACCTGCCGGGCTCCGGCGATCCTTCCGCCTCAGCCTTCTGAGTAGCCGGAATTACAGGTGCGCGCTATCACGCCCGGCTAATTTAAAAAAAAAATTTTTTTTGATTTATTGTAGAGACGAGGTCTCGCCACCCAGGCGGGTCTCGAACCCACGGGCTCAGGCCATCCACTCACCTCAGCCTCCCAAAGGCGCGGGTTTACAGGCTGAGCCACCGAGCCCGGCTTATGTGCCGTTTTTTAAAGCAAACATGTCTTGGATGAAAAACATTCACATTATTTTAACGTGGGGAGACAGAGAGGAGGTATTGCGGTGAACCCTTTGCTACCCAGAAGTAAGATGCGATTCAGAGCTCCTAATTATAGTGATGGTGATAACAACGGCAGCAACAGTCATCATGGCCAAAGCCGTCATTTACTGAAGACCTTCCGCACGCTGGACGGTGCCCGACCTTAGTCATATTGTTCCCATTTTGCAGGTGAGGAGATTGCGGTGAAGCTCCGGGAAGCTAAGTACTAGAACCAGGCATGAGACAAACTGGTAGCAGGATGGGTCCAGCGCCCAGGTCTCCCCTGTGGGACCAGCACCCTCCTGGTCCACACGCAACCTGTCTGCCCAGGAGCCCCTCCCAGGGCTGGGCCTGCCCACAGGGTCTGGGCACTGGCTGGCACCAGGTCGAGGCAGAGCCCTGACTAATCCAGCAGCACCGATATGGGCATGGTGTCCCAGGCACCTGCGGGTGCCCCTCCTGGAACCCATCATGTCCTGGTGGTCGGGGGAGGCCGCACCCGTCCTGCTCTCCTCTGAGAATGGCCGTGCGTGGCTCTGGGGGAGCGTCCTGCCTCCTTGTGCTCCGTTCGTCGCACATGGCTGAGAACTCGCCCAGCCAAACACCCATTCCCAGGGCCCCCTCGGCTCCAGGCCGGCAGCAGGAGAGCATGGGACTCCCCAGAGCGGCGTCACCTCACACGGTGGGGCAGCTTCTGAGCCAGGCACGTCCCTTTGGGTAAAGCTTGACTCCCGCTCTCTGCCTCCTGGCAAGACCCTCTCAGAATCCAGATCCCAGCCTCGGGGGATGTCAGAGAGCTCGAAGCCGCGAAGGCGTGCAGCCAGATGCCCTGACCCTCCACCCCAGGGCGCCCCCCTGCCTGCAAAACACAAAGGATGTGCTTCAGGTGACTGAGTGTAGACGCCCCCCCCCAGCCCGCCTTTACCGCTTTCTCCTCCCCAGGGATCTGCCACCCTTTCCCTGGGCTGCCGAGCCTGGCATCTCCGGGGCCTCCACCCTACTGGCCCCACTCACCCCCGGACGTTTCCACACGAAGGGGACCTGGGGCCTCTCACTGTAGAACAGGGAGGCGTTGCTGGCCGGGAAGTCTGCGTCCTCAAACAGCGTGCCCTCCTGCAGGCACTCCTGCCTCAGTTGCTCAAAGCTCCGGCCCGAGGAGTGGGTGGCCCGGGCATCCCTGGGAATCGCGTGTGCCTGAGGCCCGGGGGTCCGGTGGAGGTAAGGCATGGCTTCTCCCTGAGCCGGTGGGCTTGAGATGGGCGATGGATGGGAAGTCAAGAGAAGCAGCGAGCTTCGAGTGCCGATAGAGAAGGCAGAGTTCAGGGGCCCTGGGCGGGGCAGCCTCCCCTTCACCTGTTTGCTGGGCGCCTCCCTGTTAGACTGAAATGGGACACGCCCCATCTGCAAACCGCAGAGAGCGCCTCTGTTGGCGCAGGGCTCCTGCAGACCCAGGGGCAGCTCTGGGGCTGAGCGGTTCCAAGCAGAGGCAGTGTTTGTGCCTCGTGCGTCAGGGAGACCCAGTGGGAGAGAGAGCAAGCATTGCTTCATTGGAGAAAGGATAAGAAACCGAATCGGTCCAGGAGGGAGCGCCCCGTGTGGCCCCAATCACCCCCCGCCCGAATCAGTGGCAGCTTTGCAGATGGAGGGAAGCTTGGCAAGCCACAGCAGGGCATGCTACGTGGACACAGCTTGCACAGCTTTTGCACAGAAAACTCCATTTTGATTTAGAGCGGGATCCACAAGCTTTCTGGTAAGGGGCCAGACAGTGAAAAATGCTCAGCCTTGTGGGCCCTACGGGCTGTGCTACAGGGACTCAGCTTTGGTGTTCATGAAGGGGTGTGGCTGTGTTCCAAGAAAACTTTATTTACAAAAGCAAGAGGGGGACAGATTTTTGTCCAGCTGGAACCCTGACACAGGAAAGCTCGCAAAGGACGTTTGTTCTTCTTCTGGGCGCATATGCCTCTCTTCTCCAGACATTTGAATAAAGTTCTTGTAGTGTAAGACTCTAGAAATAGGATCTTGCATAAAAAAAAAATAAGGGTCAGAGGATGGCGATGGTTTAATAAAAGTGTTAGCTCATGGAAATGATAAATACTCGAGAAGACGGATACCCTAAATACCGACTCGATCGTTACACACTCTATGCATGTAACAAAATATCATATGTACCCCATACATATGTACAAATGGTATGTCTTAATAAAGATAATAAAGTGTTAGCCACCACGTGAAGCCTCTGATGTTTTAAGCACTTTATAATGATTCCACGTGATTCTCTTCCCAAAGTTGGGGTTTGGAGCAAGCGGTCTTGAGTTAATAGGTGCAGTTAAAAGACCAGGATTTGAATTTTTATAGAACCTCACAATTCTCAGGAGTGTTCTCTTAGTCTGACATGCTTTCTGTCCAGCAGATCCTACATATTGTTTTACAGGGTAAGTGTAGACACTGGAGTTGGGTATATTTGGGTTTAGCTCGGCTGTGGTCTGAATGCTTGTGTTTCCCCAAAATCTGTAGGTTGAAACTCTAACCCCCAAAGTGATGGTATCAGGAAGTAGTGCCTTGTGGGAGGTGATTAGTTCAAGATGGTGGAGACTCCACTAGTGGGATCAGTGCCCTTACAAAAGAGCCCCCAGAAAGCTTTCTTCCCTCCCACCGTGTGAGGACACAGGAACCGGGAAGTGGCCTTTGCCAGACACAGAATCTGCTGCTTCCAGAACTGTGAGCAATGCATTGTTTCTAAGCCACCATGCTGTTTTGTTATAGCTGCCTGAATGGACAAGGGCAAACTCCCAGTTTTGCCTGGGGTGATCTTGGCCGAGTGACTTATGTAGTCTGCTCCTGCTTCCAAGGCATGAATGAAGACAGTTGGTGCTGCCTCCTCCGTCGAGGTGGGATTATGGAAATACCGCAGCTTGCAAAGTCTGGCCCACACAGGAAGTTGGGAGCTGTTGAGCCCTCCCCTTCCCTGTCCTCTCTGCAGCCTCCTGCCACCCCACGGTTACCGGCTGTCATGGCCCCCTCTGAGCTGCCCTTGCTCCACTGGTAAGAGCACTCTTGTTGTGTCTCTGTCTGCACAAGGAAGGACTCCAGAATCCTCTGCTGGACATGATGGAGGGGCCAGCAAATGTCCTGTTGCCTACTCCCTGGCAGACAGCTCTGCTTCAAGGTGATTAAGGAGGCTGGCCTAGGGAGTCAGGTGTGAGGGTGTGAGGGCCATCCATTTCTGGTGACACCTCAGCAGGGAAATAAATGCTCACCAACCCAGATTTATCAGAACGTCCCCTTCAAATGTCCCAGTAATGGGGCAAGGACCTTGAAGTAAAATCAAGCAACATCCAGAGCCGGAAAAGGCTTCTTGCTCAGTGCTGGACCCACTCCAAGCTCCAGGGATCTATGTTCTTATTCCCCCTCTTACAAATTCCTCATCAGGCAGGGGTCCCGGGCTTGCTCCTGAGCCTTACCTATGTGTTGGAAGAACTGGGCTTTTTATTGAAAGCCTGATCTTAATAGCTAGATCACCAGAGAAGTGCCCTGTCATTTCTTTTCTTTTTTCTTTTTTTGAGTTGGAGTCTCACTCTGTCGCTCAGACTGGAGTGCAGTGGCCGCTCCTGGCCACCGCAGCCTCGACCTGCTGGGCTCCGGCAATCCTTCTGCCTCAGCCTTCCGAGTAGCTGGAATTACAGGCGTGCACTACCACGCCTGGCTGATTTTTTGATTTATTGTAGAGATGAGGTCTCGCTGCCCAGGCGGGTCTCGAACCCACGGGCTTGGGCAATCCACTCACCTCAGCCTCCCAAAGGTGCGGGATGACAGGCTGAGCCACCGAGCCCGGCTTGTCATTTCTGAATAAAGCAAATGTCTCAGAGTGAGAAATGCACTCAGAGGGCTTAGCGACGTACCACAGCCCTCCAGGACCCTGAGAATGTCCCGGGAAGGCACGACTTCTGGGGTCATGGCTGGGTCGTCCTTCCTGATCCTCAAGGTCTGCCCGCAGAGCCCTGCACCAGCCTCTTTTGAGAGCTCGTTGTGCTAGGCTTCTCCAGGGCTTTGTCTTAGCATCCAAGCCCACTCCCACTCAGCCTAGCATGGGGCGCCACGCACATCTGCTGAATAAACATTGAGCCAGTGCCTCAGGAAGGCAGATGGCGTCCTTGAGGCTCTCAGTTTCGTGTTCCAAACCCGCACTTCTTCTCAGGATGGAAACTGGCTAGAGAAACGTCAGCCACACCGTCTGAGGCCCACTAGCCCCGCAAACCTCCTCACCCAGGCAGGAGATGCTCTGAGCGCCTCAGGGAGGGCTTTGGGCCTAGGCCAGGAACGTATGCACCAGAAAGCTCTGCCCTCTTGCTGCCAGTCTAGAAGTGTGTGGCTCTGAGCCCGTGGCGAACATCCGTCAGGTTCCTTGCATTTTCCTGTAGCAGAACGATCTGCTAAAATGACTTCTGGATTCACGTTTCTTCCCCTGGCCTCTGGACCCTTCAGTTTCTCCCTCTGCCCGACCCTTCTCTTGTTTCTCCACCCTCGGGCCGCAGGGAGCATGCGTTCTCTTTCCCACGTGCGTCTTGCAGTGCAGTGGGATGCGACACAGTGCCTGGGTGGCTACGCAACGCCCTGGGCAAAACCCCCTGGTGAGCACTCTGAGGCTTCGTGTGGGGGTGGCGACTCTGTCCCAGGACTCAGGCGGGCTCAGCCATCGGGGTGGGCCAGGCTCATCGCCAGGTTTTGACAGGCGTCCCAAACAGCCCAGATCCCAAAACGAGAAGGGTCCTGTTTCGGTTTTTATTCTGGCTCTTGGTTGCGTGTCTGTGATCCCGAGGCCTGTGGTGTGGGGGTGGTACGAGAGGGGAGGAGGGTGGCGGGCATGCCCAGGTGCCCGAGCGAGAGAGGCCACAGCTCACACCCGGCGTAGCAGGAGAAAGTGGGAAGGGGGCAGATTCCCCAGGAGGACTATGGCCAAGGCCTCCCGCTGGGGTGCAGGAATGGAGGAGGCAGGGTGGCTTCCTGCGTTCAGATTTGAGCAAATGACCGACTGTGGGGACAGGAGGAGGTCTGGAAGACAGCAGAAGAAAGGTTCCACACTCCGGGTCCGTCAGGCTAAAACACCTTCTGCTTGCTGGTGGGGGCGCACCTGGGTACAGCCCTTCTGGAGAACCCTTACTAATAGCTGCCAGCCTCTGTCATCCAGCCCTTCCCTCCTGGAGCTTTATCCTGCAGCTGTACCTGTCCTGGGAGGGAGAAAGGTGCTCCAGGTTATCGGTTCGCTGCAGCCTGCTTCCTTCCGAAAAGATGGGAAGTCCCAAGCGCCCTCTGTCAGGGGAATGGTCACGGCCTCAGGGCGCAGCCAGCCTCGAAGTGGAACAGCACAAAGTCTATAGCATGGGAAGGAAGCTCGTCATCTGCTGACAGGGAGGAACCCTGGGATACAGGGTTCAGGTGGGAAGTCAGAGTGCTGCCGTTTGTGGAGAAAGGGGAATACAACCCCTATTTCTGTTGGCATAAAAAGCTCTTGGAAACGACACAAAGCACCAAGAACAGTGGGCCTGTCTCCTGGGGGAAGACTGAGCAGATGAAGTATAGGAGTATTGAAGTTGGGGGGCTTTTCTAGATGTCTTTTGCAATTTTTAAATTTTAGCCCCATTTTGCTTGGTTGCACTTTTTTGGTAGTTTGTTTTAGAGACAGGCTCTCACTCTGCCCCTAGGCAAGAGTGTAGTGGTGTGATCATAGCTGCTGTGACCTCAGACTCCTGGGCGCAAGCAAGCCGCCTGCCTCTGCATCCCAAGTAGCTGGGACTACAGGTGTGGACCATCACACAGTTAAGTGTTAATTATTTTTAGAGATGGGGTCTGGCTGTGTGGCCCAGGCGGGTCTCGAACTCCCGGCCTCAAGCAATCCTCTGGCCTCAACCTCCCAAGCTGCTGGGATTAAAGAGGTGAGCTACCACACCTGGACTGAATTACTTTTTAAGACATTTTAAAAGTGTAAGATGCTTCTGCAATGACTGGAGGGAGATGCCAAATGGGCAGTTAGACATCCAGGCAAGGGCAGGGAAGAGAAGGCGTGGTCTGACGATCGGCCCCTGCCAACTTCCCTCAGGTGCTGAGTCGGGTCACAGGATCCTGACATTTTGTGTTCAGCCTGGAATACGCTTCCCTCGCTCCTTTCTGGTTCCCCTAACAAAGTGCCTGGACACCTGCGCTCTGTGGCCCAGTGACTGTCACTCAGGGAGTGTTGGAAGGGCTGCAGCAGTCAGGGTGAGACATGCCATCTGCCACAGGAGGTGCTGGGGAGGAAGGTGACACCGTCTCAGAAATCACACACTGTGTCCCC